ATAGAAAGAAATTAATTGGACAACTAAAAATATATAGAAAAAAATTAGCCGGGTATGGTAGTGCATGCCTGTAGTCCCAGCTACTCAGGAGGCTGAGGCAGAAGGATTTCTTGAGCCCAGGAGTTTGAGGTTGCTGTGAGCTAGGCTGATGCCATGGCACTCACTCTAGTCTGGGCAACAAAGTGACACTCTGTCTCAAAAAAAAAAAAGTAAATCGTAACTCAAAATTCTGAAGACTTTAATGAAAGAAGGCAGGCAAGAAAAGTAATAGCAATACTTTTACTGAGTGTCTACTTAGTATCAAGTATGCGTTGTTGCTACAGGTTGAGCATCGCTTATCTGAAATGCTTGGGATCAGCAGTGTTTTAAGTTTCAGTTTTTCAAACTTGGAACATTTGCATTATCCTTACCAGCTGAGCAATTCTAATCTGAAAATCCCAAATCCGAAATGTTCCAATGAGCATTTCCTCTGAGTGCCATGCTAGCGCTCATAAAAGTTCAGATTCTGGAGCATTTTGGACTTGGGGATTAGGGATGTGCAACCTGGGCCTGCATATTACAGATGGGGAAACTGAGGATCAGAGAAGTTGTTTGCTCAAGGTCACTGATTAAGTGGAAGCGTATCTCATCCAAAAGCCCATGCTATCTTACAACTGTGTTATTCTGACTTTCAGTTTAGTGAGAAATATTTTTAGCATGCACTAAAAGGCAAAGAAATATCTTTTTTCATCTTTCCCTAGCTGTTCCTGTATCGTTTCTCATTTTTAGTTCAAATAGTTATTTTTCCCTTCTTCCATCAGAATTCTTATCAAAAGAGACTTTTCCTTTGCCAAAACAATTTTAATTTGAAAGAAACCGTCCCTTTTTATAAAGCAGTCCCACAAACAAAAAAGCAGTGAAGCCCAGCATACTCACCATGACCTTCACGTTACCGATACACTCAAAGGAGTAGTCCACGCCGCCCTCAGTCATCTCCACGAGCACTTCCTGGATGGGTTTACTGAAGTCCTGGGGGTTAATACATTCAGACGCTCCGAACTCTTTGGCCTTTGCAAATTTATCTTTATTGATGTCCACGCCAATGATTCGGGATGCACCAGCCACTTTACAGCCCATGATCACCGCCAGTCCAACTCCTCCCAGGCCGAAGACAGCGCAAGTAGAGCCAGGCTCCACCTAACGGTAAAGACAGTTCATGAGGCGCTTACCCCACCAGGGTCAAGGGGATCACATGGTTTCACACAGATGGGTCCATTTCACTATGCCAGGAAAGCGCTGCTGAATGGAATTCGAAGGCAGAAGCTTCACCCACAACCTCTTACCTTGGCGGTGTTCACAGCGGCACCATAACCAGTCGAAATGCCACAGCCCAGGAGGCAGACTTTATCCAGAGGTGCTAAGGGATCTATCTTAGCAACAGAGATATCAGCCACAACCGTATATTCAGAAAACGTGCTGGTTCCCATGTAATGTAAAATTGTCTTTCCTTTGCAAGTAAATCTGCTGGTACCATCTGGCATTAATCCTTTCCCTTGAGTGACTCTAAAGAATATAACAAAGTTTAAAAGGCAAGGTGGAATCAGGTTTCTAAAAACCCACAGGAAAAAGAAATCAGTTTTTAAAATAATGACCAGTAAGTATTCAGAAAAGTATGCTAAGACCACAAGTCTAATTTCTAACGTATTCATCAGTAATTTAACACCTTTCACCAATGCCTCATGAAGGAAACTTGTAAGAGATTCATAATCTTATTCATCTTTTCCAACATTCAACATCCCTTTGGATCTTACTGTCAGAATACTGAACCCTTTTAAGGAGGTACAACTTATGCATCAGATGAAATTATTTTAAATTCCATCATAAAACTCTGTGAGCAAATATAACTTCATAAAGGATAAAGCCAAAACCAGAACCTATAAAAGTAGAGTTTACAAGCAATTATCCAGATTAGCTGATGAAAACAGGTGGCCAAACTGGCTAGTTCAGAGCTTTCAGAAGGCATTTTTCAGAACTGTAACAGTCCTCAAGGATTCAAGTTAAAATCCATTTTATTTTCTTGTGTAGTTGGTTGCACCAATAGAAAAATTTAAAAAATCCGGAAAACGCAGAAAGGGGACCAATACAATAAATGGTAACAGAAATTACTTTTGATAGTCTAAACAGATAGGTGACATAATGTCTTTCTTGGGTTCAAATCCTGTGTGATCTGGGGCAAGTTACTTAGCCTCTGTGCCTTAATATTCTCACTAGAAAATTGCAAGAAACAATAGTATCTTCCTTATAGATTGCTATAACAATCAAATGAGATGTTACGGAAAGCATTAGCATTATGTCCTACACAGTGTTTAGTAGATATTTGTTATTTTTCATAAAATAAACACTATAATTCAATATAATATTTTAGCTATAGTCTTTGGAATATATCTACATGGATATATTACACACATATATATATACACACACACACACACACATATATACACAGATGAAGAGAAAATGGACTGCTTCTAGATTCAAGAGAAAATACACTTCCTTTGAGAGAAAAACAAAAATATGACCAGAAAAAAAGAACAGGTCACAAAGTGCCACCAAAAACAACAGTTATATTCTTTCTTTCTTTGAGACAGGGTCTCACTCTGTCTCCCATGCTGGACTGCAGTGGCGAGCTTGCAGTGCAGCTTGCTGCAGCCTTGAACTCCTGACCTCAAGCAATCCTTCGGCCTCAGCCTCTCAAAGAGCTGGGATTACAGGTGAGAGCCACTGCACCTGGTCAACTGTTATATCTTTGAGCACAATTTAAGTTCATTTAGCCCTCCTGAATGTGAGAAGTCACTCTGTTCTAGAGGCATTTCTTGAATAAAAGGTGATGCAGGATGCATTTTACACTTTGGAAGAACTTTTCCTCCAAACGGTTACAGATAATCACAAAAAGCTCATTGCCATTATTACACTTGATGTGTCCTCAATTTTTTCAGACTGTGTTTGAAATTCCCTTTCAAAATTTCTAGGTATTTTTTGGTTCTAGCATGCTGAAAAGTAACTAGATTAACATTATAAAATCAATGGAATTTCATTTTCCAAAAATATAAATTGGTTTTGTCAATGGCGTTAGAAAACAATTGCAAGAACAAATGGATCTCCGAGGATGGGGGGAGTGCAAAGTGGTACAATCCCACTGGAGAGCTGTGGACGCAACTCCTATGAGTTGGCAATTGCAATCCCTGCAAAGTACCCAAGAGAAAGTAGTGCTTATCTCCATTAAAGATAAGTATATGAATGTTCCGAGTAGCATTAATCATAACCACCTCAAACTAGCAGCATTCATCATAAGAGCCCCAAACTGGGAACAATAAAAATGTCCTGCAACAGGAGAATGAACAAACAGTGGTATTTGGAATGAAATTAAGACAGAGCAACAAAAGAGCGCTACTGATGCACATGCAACCTGGATAGCCCTCACAGACACTGTGATGAAAGAACTCCGACAAAAGAGCACATGCTGCTCGATTCTATTCACACAAAGGTCTATAGTGAAAGGAATCAGAGTAGTGCTGCCCCTGAGAGAGACAGGTGTGGAAGGGACACGAGGGACTTTGTGGGGTACCGGCAGGGTTGACCTGGTGACGGTTCCAACCATCAGGTGTGTATATACATAAGCATTCACTGGGCTGCACACCTAAGATGTGGACACCTGTAAGTGCTTTACCATATGCATGTTGTACCTTAAAAAAGAAAATAAAAAAAGGAAACAAACACAAGGAGATCTTAACCCTTTGCACTCAGATGTCGAGTGTGGGTAATGTCGAGTGGATAATGAGAAAAAAGCAAGCGAGTGCAAAGGGTTAAATTGCCTCTAAGAGGTGATTCTTTTGGTGGTGTGACCATTCTACAATAAAAATAAGGACCTTTTTTGCATCTACGGGTTAGGTCATCTCCTGTAGTCTTCCTGATAACCTTATGAGGTGAGGTTTATTACTCTGATTTAATGAACAATAAAATGGGTCGTAAAAAGGATTTCATTTACTCTGACAAGCATGTCTTTCCTTACTACATAGTTTGGCTAATCCAGCCCAGTGTCATAGAAAAAGAATGGGTTCAGAAAATTCTGTTTTACAAGTTAATAACTAGTAATACTGGGCAAACCTGTAATTATGAGTCTTAATTTTCTCATGTATGAAAATGGGAATACTAGTAGTAGTGATAGTGAGGTTGCCATAAAGATGGAATGAAATAATTAATGTAAAATGCACTGTATAAACTGCCACACAATCACTTACTATCACTGTCAATATGATCTCTTGTTTTACAACTAATATAGAGAGATACTAACCTTATCTTCTGGCAAAGGTTCGTTTTAGGATTCAGACAGAATTTGCATTCTCCACACTGCGGGATATACAGCGGGATGACTGTATCACCTGGGAAACAAATGCAAAGACACACTGAATAGGTAGTGTCTGTTTCTAAATGAACACACCAGCCCTTGCAAATTCTCATTCCTGTCAACCGATGTGGCTTTGCAACTTCAAGAGAACTACAAGTCTTGGAACTCTGACCATGTTGAAAGTATGTTTCAAATTTTTATCTAAATGAAACTTTTAAAACATAACTGGAGAACAAGGTCACCTGCTTCAAAATCCTGACTCCCTGATGCATCTCTAAAAAGTCTTGCTTAATTTGCTAAAATTGGCTTTGAAAATGTATTCATATAGTTTCAGATGACCAATAGTCTGCAAAAACAGAGAGAAAAAAATACTCAAATACTTCTGTTTCCCAGACAAGGAAAAAAAATCAATCTTCACAATCTAGGTAGGTAATAACTTGCTCATAAATAAACAATGTGTAGTTTATCAGAAAAATCATTTCCCTACAGGAATAAGCAAAAATCATCAAATAGGCATTCTAACTATTCCTCTTACCTGCTTTCACCTTAGTAACTCCTTCACCAACACTTTCCACAATTCCGGCACCTTCATGTCCCAAGATCACTGGGAAACACCCCTCAGGATCAGCTCCACTCAGCGTATAGGCATCGGTGTGGCACACTGCAGTGGCAATGATCTGCCAGGATATTAAAACAATGAGCATGTAAGTGTGTATGACTGCAATTCAGAGTGAGGTAAAGGTCAAAGGAAAGGCATTTTACTTTAATACCATATTTCATTGATTCTAAGATATATATTTTTTTCTTATTTAAACCTCTTTAAAATCAGCCTGTGCTTGCAATCCATGCCATCTTAACAATTACAATTGGCAGCATATTTTTAGGAGTATGTAATAGAAATGCTGTATTTACATACAATGAAACATGGCATCTCTGTTTTCCTTTTCAGTGCATTAGGGACACTGTGCCCTCAGGTGTGAAGAGGAACATTGCCTGAGTGCGAAACAGGTGGAAGCCATTTCATGGCTGGCTTCCCTCAGGACTGCTGGGAACTGTGATTTTAAAAAGGTATTGACTATTTCTGAAATATGCCAGTCTGCTTGAGTCTGGGCCAAAAGTCAGAGCTTTTAGTAGAACCCACTCCGTTTTTTAGGAACTGCACACAATTTCTATTTAAATAAGCCCTTTATCCCTGTCTTTCTGGCTTTCAAGTATCATGTCTTTCCAAACTATCAAAAGGGCAGAAAGGCAAAGTCTGGAGCAGGTGTCCTCAAACTACGGCCCGACGAGGACATTTATCCGGCCTGTTGCCGCCCCTACCTGTCCCGCTTAGCAGCTGACTGTCCTGGGCCGCAGTGCACATGTGTGGAATGTGCGCCACACTCTCCAACAGTCTGAGGGACAGTGAACTGGCCCCCTGTTTAAAAAGTTTGAGGACCCCTAGTCTGGAGTGTTTGTGTTCATGCATCTCTGCTTCGGGCCTACATTCTTGCTTAGAATGTAACACTCCTTGCTATCTGCCAGCAGCTTTTCAGGGAAGACAGCTGAACTCTCTGTGCCCCGTATAGCTCATCTTAGTACATCCAGGACAAACATTTTCTTTCTTCAGTGGCAAAGTCACAATCAGCTTAATTTCTGACCTTGAAGAAACACAAACTATGATTTAACAATTCAGATTCCTGGGTCTGGGTTGTAAAGGACCTTAGAAAGTCCTTTGATCCTGGGCTGCTCACCTGGTAGTGCTCACATGACCAGTATGTGTGTGTGTGTTTACAGGTGGGATGGGGGATGTTCACTCAAAGTCACAGCAAAAAAGAGCTGTGACTCTTCCTAGAATGTAACATTTTCCTAGAACATTAGTTTTAATAGTCACTACCATAAAGCATTAATTTTATATCAAAACAAGTAGAGCGCAGAATGCTAAAAACATTAAGTTTTATAAATGTCAAAGCTTCAAAGGTACCGCCAGTTGACTGCCTTGTGTAATATGGCTCTCTCCTAGGGTAACTACATTTTATGATGGAGGTTTATATGCACTGGAATAATGAATTCCCTGAACCTGGGCCTCGTTTCCCAGGGTCAGTATACTGTTACCGTGTTTCCCCGAAAATAAGACCTACCCATAAAATAAGCCCTAGCAGGATTTTTAAGCATTTGTGCAATATAAGCCCTGCCTGGAAAATAAGACCTAGTGATGGGCATGGCTACGCAGCGTATCTGCACAGCCCATGCATTTCATGGCGGACGAGCAGCCCTTCTCATCTGCCCCATCGTGACAGCTACTATCCCAGAGGTGACTGGAAAGGTGCGGGCAGCTCCACCAACAAGGCCGGCTCCCCCTGTCAGGTCCCGACCATCCTGTGTGTGCTGCAAGCTGAAGCTTTGAGGGGGAAATAACACATCCCCTGAAAATAAGCCCTAGGGTGTCTTCTTGAGGAAAAATAAATATAAGACCCTGTCTTATTTTTGAGGAAACACGGTAGGCTCTCTAAGCAAGGAGATTTCACTTGCTTGTTCTAGTCAATCAGGAACCTCTTCCCAAATTTTATTTGAAGTCTAACAGAACTGAAGACCATTTCTTTTTTTTCTAACCTGTTACTACAGTTAAAGTTTTGGGATCAGCAGAAAGAGGAGCATCCTACAAAGTCACCTGAAACTCAAACTACAGAAGATAAATTGCAGTAAACATGGATATGGCTGCTCAGCCCCCAGATCAAACCTGAAAAGATGGAGAGGAGGCTGCAAAGGTGAGAGGGGTAAGAGGAGGATGTTGTGATCTTAGGCCGGATGGCTTTCAATACCTTCTCCTTGACAGTGTGCCTTGGGATTTATCCTCTGCAGACCTCAGATCTACTCAGCTATCCAGAGACCTAATTGTAAGTCTTTTTGTTCCAGTGCCTTAAATGTGTCATTACCTTAATTCGAACTTCATGAGCCTCTGGGGGTGCCACCTCTATCTCCTCTATGGAGAGAGGCTTTCCAGCCTCCCAGGCAACTGCAGCCTTACACTTGATAACCTGAGATGGGAAAAAAAGAGAGTAATCTGTTTATTCCCCTTCGCTAATAAATACTTAATAGTTAATTCAGATACTGATGAATGCCAATCTCAGAAAGTATATTACAGATTTACAAAGAAACATACACCTCTAAGTAATATGGAAAGTTTTTTTCGGATTTCATGTAAATAGTATACATTAACAAAAGATTTAATTGAGAGGACCACCTATTCACATATGAAAGACTCTTTTGGTTAAAAAGTTTTATGCATCAAATATTTAATGACCTTCTACAGTGTGTTAGCAAGAGCAGCTTAAGAACACAGGGTTCCAAAAGAATCTGGTAGGTCTGGCATGGGGCTCAAGGAATCTGTGTAACATTTGGTCTATGAAATCCTTGCTCAGGTTGGTTTAAATAGTACCAGTTTTTAAAAGTGCAGGTTGAGAAGGAGGATAAGAAGTATCAGAATGAGGGAACTTAACTATATTCATCCCTTATATCTTGGTTGTTCAATACAGGAGCCACTTGCCACGTGTCGCTATTGATCACTTAGAAAATGGCCAGTCTGACCAGACACATGCCATATGTGTAAAACATTCTTGGATTTTGAAGACTTAGTACAAAAAAAGTAAAAATATGTCATTAATTATATTTTTTAAAATATTGCTTACATGTTGAAATAGTATTTTGAATATATTGGATCAAATAAGTATACTGTTAAAATTAATCAGACACATTCCTTTTACTTTTAATGTGGCTACTGAAAAATTTAAATTACATATGTGACTCATATATCTGCAGCATAGAGGTGCTCTAGAGATCATAGTCAGTACCTTCCTCTACTACCAGGGAATGAAGTGTTATGAGGAAGGTTCTGACCTGTTTACATAATGCTCACGAAACGTGTTGAGAGAATAAAGGTTGCGAACCACTGGGTTTTTAGGAGACAGACATGAAAGTCAGTAATTACAAAGAGTGTTAACTTAGAGACAGGCACAAAATGAAACAGAATGCAGAAAGTGGGAAAAAAGTGTAACTGATTGGTGGTTTTGGTAAACCATCACTTTTAATCAGGATTAAAAGGATGAGGAAGAGATAGTTACAAATGGTGACAAAACACCTACATATAGGTTAACTGTGAGGAGTGAATGGGAATGAATATGAAGTCCCTAACACAGAATTCATTGACACAGTGTAGCTTTGCAAAAGTAAGTAGTTACTGGTAGCAATAGAACAAAGAGTTGAAGAACAGAAGTGAACTATATAGAGAGAGTGGCCTATGTAAATTGGTGAGTCTGGAAATTATGGCTTTTAAGATTTAATTGTAGATATTAAACCTGACAGAAGAATTCAGACACTACACTAGAAACTTTTTCACCTTAATGTACCATAAAATCTCAAAACAAAATCTCAAAGGTCGGATTCAGAATACAAACAATGAAGTTATGTAATGATTGAAAGCAGATTCAAAGTTTGATGCCCTTCCCCTTTAAAAAATATTTGAAGGGAATTTAACCCTTTCCTTGCACTGACAATTCGAAGCAAAAGAAAGAGCCACTGTAAATCTGCCAGAAAATGGCCCTACTTCGACATTTGAACTATCATACGAATTATACTTTTTCACTTTCTCTGCATAAAGATAACATGCAAATAAGGAAAAACAACTGCCAATTTAAGTCTGAAAGACTGATTACAGTTTATCATTTCTTTCTTTTTTTTTTTTTTTTTTTTTTTTGTTGAGACAGGGACTGCCTGTCGCACAAGCTGTGCAACCATAGCTCACTGCATCGGCCAGCTCCCGGGCCCAAGCGATCCCTCAGCCTGAGCAGCTGGGACTTCAGGGACCTGCCACCTTGTCCTGCTATTATCTATCATTTCTTTGGAACGCCAACATTTAAGGTCGTATATCTTCTTAGAAAATGCCTAAAGTTTGGAAAGCATTAAAACAATCAGCAACTTTGGACTGACTGTCAAGTTATTCGTGTACTTCTGTCTTTGTTGTCTAATATGTATTTCAGAAGCTCGTGACACGGGAGCAGACCTGAGCCGGAGTCCCTAACGGCCCACCTCTGGTGTGACCGTTAAGCACAACCAGTCTCTTCAGCCTCGGGTTTCTGGTTAGATGGGGGTGACGGCTGGCAGAGGTGTTACGAGGGGATAGAAATCTGTTGGGGTCGAAGTGCTCAAAACAGTCACAGGAAAGGACGTAGGGGTCTCGGGGCACGGCAACTAGTCGCAGGCTCCATGAGGAGTGGCGGTCACGGAACGCGAGCAGCAGCTACGACACACGAGTTAGTCGCCCGGGCGGTGGCGGCAGCTCCGCCAAGTGCGCCAAGTGCGACCCTGAGCGAGTGACTTGATCCCGCGCGGGCAGCAGCGCGTGGCCGCCCCGAGGCCACTCCCGCCGGGACACCGACCCGGGCTGCCCCGGCCCCCGTCCGGGCCTCCCCACCCCGACCCGCTCCGCCCGTCCCTCAGGTGGCGAACAAAGCTGCCTCGGACTAAGGCGCCGGAGCAAGCCGGCTTCTCTCGCCCTCTGCGGCTCCGCGCGCCGGAGGCCCGCCTCAGCTCGGGTAGCGGGTCCCGTGCCGGGCGGAGCCCGGGGCCACCCGCCGGGTTTCTGCCGGCGCGCTCCCTCCCTCGACCTCCGGGCCCACGCGCACCCGCGCTACCTGGTTCGCCATGTCGGCGGGTTCGAGTCCGCGCAGCGCACAGCGGGCGCCTGACTGGCAGAGCTGGGACGGGGCGAGGGCGGGGCGTGCGCGCCGCGTGTGGGCGGGGCGTGCGTCCATCGTCTGCGTCGGGACGTGGGGGCGTGGCTAGCGGGCTGCCGCCCGAATGGCTGTTCCTGAGGCGCGCCTTTTGCCGGTGGCGCGGCCGGAGGGGTCCGGGTCTGGTGCTAATCCGGCACACTGGCTGTGAAATTCCCTTTTTTGTCCAGAAACGGTTTCCCCGTGTAATTTTAGTCCAGTCGTCGTAGGTAAGGCTTACAAATTTGAGGTGTGGAAGTTGAGGTAAGAGGAGTTTCGCCGGAAGCATGCGAGAAGCAGAGAGAGGCCCGCGCGGCTGCGTGCTCCTCGGGCGGAGGCGCCCGCCCTTTCTCCGCGCGGCGCGCGCGGGACGCGGGGTGACGGAGACGCAGCCCCGCAAGGGACGCCGTCCAGAGAGGAAGCTGGCCTGTGAGAACATGATAAAGGGAGCTCGGAGGACGGGGTTGTTTGTTGGGAAGTTCCCAAGTTTCCACCCCAGCAGTTCCTGAAGCGTGTGTAGGATTTAGGGACGGTAGGGTTTGGGGAGAGAGCTCTGCAGGGCCGGGATGAGGGAGGTGAGAAGTCTCCTGAACCTAGACGTGTTAGGCGGGCCAGAGTGTAGACAGAGGGAGGATGGAGCTTTGCTGGTTTACTCGTAAACTCTGTCATAGACGCTGAATTTTGTTAAAATGCCTCTACCCGACACAGCACTCTGCTCTGCCTGCTTTTCAGTCTTTTTCATACCTCCCTCTTTTCGAGGTTACACACTTTAAGATTCTGACCAAAGTTCTTCCTTCCCTTCCTTCCCTCCCATCCACACTATGGCTTTTAACTTATTTATAGAAGGACGACTAGCAAATTACTCTCTCCAATCAGGATGACTCCCCTAAACCCCAGGCTTGGGCGTACAACTGCTGCTAGATGCCTTTATTAGAGTATCTCACAGTCATCTCAAACTCATCTTGTTGTATTTTCTCCGTAAGGGGACTCTTCCTTCCGTCTGTGTGTTGTGACACTATCCACCTACTTGCCCCAGCCAGAAACGTGGGAGTCACAACTCCTCCCTCGCCCCCAGTCCCTGCTTTCAGTTTGTCACCAAGCCGTAAATAGTTCTCACATCTCGTGCCCCTCTGTTTCCTCACTGCTGCTGCCTTAGTTCAGGCTCTCCTTGTTTCTTATAGGATTGCTGAAAGAGCCTCCCATCAGATTTCCTTGATGCCAGGCCGCTGGATCTAATGCACTTTTAAACTAATGCCCCATTAGTCAGCTTTCAAAAATATACATCAGTCAATGCCATTTCCTATGTGCCTCTAATAATTTTTGATAGAGGTGGGCTATAAGCAAATGTCGTTTTTTATTTAAAAATATTCAAGAGCTAAGAGATAAATAAAATCCAAACTCTATAGCTAGGCCATTCAGGACCCAAATAACTTCACTCTGTGTATGTCTTTGTTCTTTTTTTCCTGTTATTCTGCCACAGTGTTCACACCAACCTTATGGAACATTTGTGGTTCCTTAAAAGGACTGTCATTTCTCTTGATTCTATGTCTTTGTATATGCCAGTACTTCTTGGAATATGGCAAGCAATTTCTAGTGGGAAAAAAAGAGCTTGCAGTTTAGAGTTAATTTTCCCCCCATTGCAGATACATTGTCTGCCTTCCACAAAGAGATACTTGCATTTTCTTTCTCTTTCTTTTCTTTTTCTTTCTTACCTCCCTCTCTCCCTCCCTCTCTCTCTGTCTCTCTCTCTCTCTCCCCCCTCTCTCCTCTCTCTCTCTTCTCTCTTCCTTTCTTTCTTTCTTTTTTAGAGACAAGGTCTTAGTCTGTTCCCCAGGCTGGAGTATGGTGGCTCAATCATAGCTCACTGTAACCTTGAACTTTGGGATTCAAGCAATCCTCCTGCCTCAGCCTCCTGAGTAGCTGGGCCACAGGTGTGCACCACCACACCTGGCTAATTTTTAAATTTTTTTGTAGAGAGGGGGTCTTGCTATATTGCCTAGGATTGTCTCAAGCTTCTGGCCTCAATGAATTCTCCTGCCTTGGCCTCCTCAAGTGTTTGGATTAAAGCCATGAGCCACTGCACTCAGCTGACACTTGCATTTTTGTAAAAGGACTTCCTGTTTTTGGTTTGACATGTAAGAAGTTTGGAAGTCATCACTCCATCCTAATGATAAGTTAAAAACTGAACAAACTGAGACATTAACAACTCTTCTTAGATCCATAAGAGAAATGAGGTCACAGAGAAAACTGCTACCCAAACTAGAGAGACAGACAGATGGATACAGAAAATCACCTCTTACCAGAGTAGAAATCCACTGCTACAGGAAAAATTACTGGAGTAGGAAAACCTGGAGTGTAATTGATTAATTGCAGGAGGCTCATTGTGGATTAGTTTGAGAGTTAAAAACTCTAGGGGAACCAGTCATGGTGGGAACTCTCACACTTTTCAGTTTTATTTCCATGAGTTCTCACAGAGAAGATTGGGGGAAAAAAAACCCCCATTGCTTCCTGCTGGGAGTAGCGGAAAAGTAACCATTTTGAAATATGCCATAGCATTCTGTTGTTTGTAAGAAGGCTAGCCCTCAAGGGGAACTATTTTATTGCTGCCTAACCTACTGGAGTTTTTACACGAGCTTTTTTTGTTTTTGTTTTTGAAACAGACTTGCTCTGTTGCCTGGACTAAAGTGGTGTGGCCTCAGCCTAGCTCACAGCAACCTCCAACTCCTGGGCTCAAGTGATCCTCCTGCCTCAGCCTCCCGACTAGCTGGAACTACAGGCATATGCCACCATGCCCAGCTAATTTTTCCTATATATATTTTTAGTTGTCCAGATAATTTCTTTCTATTTTTAGTAGAGACGGGGTCTTGTTCTTGCTCAGAGAGCTGGTCATGGCCTTGAACTCCTGACCTCGAGGGATAGAGATCAAAAATACTGTAACAAAAAATGCCTTTGATGGGTTTATTAGATTGGATGTGGCTGAAGAAAGAATCTCTGAGCTTGAGGATATGTTAATAGAAATTTTCAAAACTGAAAAGTAAAGAGAAAAAAGAAAACCAAATACATGAAACAGATCCTCGAACTATAGGACAACTACAAAAGATGTATCGTGCATATATAAGAATACCAGAAGGAGAAGAAAAAAGGGAACAGAGGCAACGTTTGAAGCAACAATGATTGAGAATTTCTCTAAAATTGATGTCAGGTACCAAATCACAGATCCAGGAAGCTCAGAGAATGCCAAACAGGATACATGCCAAAACAAAACTAAAAACCCCACAAAAAACTATACCTAGGCATAACATATTCAAACTACAGAAAAACCAATGACAAAGAAAAACCTCTTGAAAGATGTCGGGAGCAAAGACAAGAAATACATCCAATTTCTTCTCAGAAATCATTCAACAAAGACGAAAGTGGAGTGAAATATTTAATATGTTGAGATAAAAAATCTAGAATTCTGGTTCTGTGAAATGATCATTCAAAAGTGAAGGAGAAATAGAGACTTTTGACAAAAATTGAGGGAATTTGTTACCAGGAGACGTGCAAAAGATGTTTAAAAAAAAGTTCAGAGAGAAGAAAAATGGTATAGATCAGAAACTAAACTCAGATCTACAGAAAGGGAGAACAATAGAGAAGGAGTAAATGAAGGTAAAATAAAAACTTTTTTCCTTATACTTAATTGATCCAATGGCAATTTGTTCAAAATAATAATAGCAACAATGTATTCAGTAAGCATAGTTTATGTAAAAGTGAAATGAATGACAGCAATGGTGAAGGGGAAAGGAGGGAGGAATTAGGATTATTTTGTTATTATAAAGTACTTACACTACCTGTGAAGTAGTGTAGTGTTATATGAAAGTGGAATTGGATTAGTTATAAGTGTATATTGCAAACTCTAGGACAAACAGTAAAAAAAAAATTAGTGAAAACAGGAGTATAATTGATTTGCTAATAAAAGAGAGACTGTGAACCCATATAAAATGCTCCATGAACACTAGAGAAGGTGGAAAAAGAGAAGACAAAAATAGGAACAAAGAACAAAGGCAATGAATAGAAAATAGTAACAAACACGGTAGACATTAACCGATTATCAACAATCACTTTAAATGTCAGTGGTCTAAATATACAAATGGAAAGACAGATTGTCAGGATAGATCAAAAAACAAGACCCAAATGTATGTTTTTTAAAAGAATCCTACTTTAAAT